CCCCACCCAAGAGAGCCTTCCACTAACACCAACCCCCCCACCACCACTCCCAGAAACAGAGCAAAATACACTCGCCTTCACAGCTCCGGATATCTCCGGGAATGAGAGTCAGGCTCTGCATACACCATCAAGCAGCCTGCAGCCTCTTTCAGATCCCACCTGGTCCCCATGTCGCATATGTCCCTTCTTCCTGGGGAGGTGCTGCCCCCCTGAAAAATGCCACCCTAGGCAAATGTCTTGTTTGCCTTTTGGTAAATACGCCTCCGGTCTTACAGCAGGTCAGAAGAGGTCCACTAGCAACCAATCATGTGTTTGCTCCAATATTCACAGAAGAACGGAACTTCCTTCGTTCAGACGTGTTCTGCCTCCGGGCTCCAGCCTCACTGCTAAAACCTTTCTTCCACCCTGCTGCTACAGCCATGCTGCAAGTATGTAAGGTAAGGTTAAACTCTCATTGGGATACTATTGTAAAGTGGGGACTCTGATAGGGACCTTGATGTAAGGGGGGACTCAGATGTAGGGGCGGACACAGGTGTGGAGTCTGATGTAAGGGAGACTTTGGTGGGGACTTTGACATAAGGGGGAACTCTGATGAGAAAGTTGTAGACCAAATATATAATTTACCAATGCTATATTCCTCTAATGGGACTTCAAGGGCAACCAACCACTTTTTTTATAAAAAAAACAAACTATATTACAATCTTTAAAAAATGTATACATCAATTAAATCCATGATTACAAAAAAAGTTGGTCATCGTGTCGTTATTGTAAACAATATGCTTTTAACATTGAGGTGGTACACCCAAACTGGTTTTTACTGTACAACCAAATGCTCTCTGATTAACAGTCCTTGTGCTGGGAAATCCAACGCGATTCTATTTTATTACATTCATCTATCTTCTTCGGGGATAATGTACCACACTAAGATGAAAAATAACATCACTGAGAATATGTGTAAAGTTTCATACAATTCCTTTGAAACCTGTTTGGTAATCAACTTACAGCACATACAGTCATGGCCGAAATTGTTGGCACCCTTGATATTTTTCCTGAAAATCAAGTATTTCACACAAAAAAGGTATTGCATTAACACATGTTTTGCTATACACATGTTTATTCCCTTTGTATGTATTGGAACAAATATAAAACAGAGGCAGAAAAGCAAATATGACATAATGTCACACAAAACCCCAAAAATGGGCTGGACAAAAGTATTGGCACCCTTAACTTAATATTTGGTTGCACACCCTTTGGAAAACATAACTGAAATCAGTCGCTTCCTATAACCATCAATAAGCTTCTGACACCTCTCACCCGGAATTTTGGACCACTCTTCCTTTGCAAACAGCTCCAGGTCTCTCTTATTGGAAGGACACCTTTTCCCAACAGCAATTTTAAGATCTCTCCACAGGTGTTCAATGGGATTTAGATCTGGGCTCATTGCTGGCCACTTCAGAACTCTCCAGCGCTTCTTTGCCATCCATTTCTGAGTGCTTTTTGACGTATGTTTGGGGTCATTGTCCTGCTGGAAGACCCAGGATCTTGGACGCAAACCCAGCTTTCTGACACTGGGCCCTACAGTGCGACCCAAAATCCTTTGGTAATCCTCAGATTTCATGATGCCTTGCACACAGTCAAGGCACCCAGTGCCAGAGGCAGCAAAACAACCCCAAAACATCATTGAACCTCCACCATATTTTACCGTAGGTACTGTGTTTTGTTCTTTGTAGGCCTCATTCCGTTTTCGGTAAACAGTAGAATGATGTGCTTTACCGAAAAGCTCTATCTTGGTCTCATCTGTCCCACAAGACGTTTTCCCAGAAGGCTTTTGGCTTACTCAAGTACATTTTGGCAAACTGTAGTCTTGCTTTTTTATGTCTCTGTGTCAGCAGTGGGGTCCTCCTGGGTCTCCTGCCATAGCGTTTCATTTCATTTAAATGTCGACGGATAGTTCGCGCTGACACTGATGCTCCCTGAGCCTGCAGGACAGCTTGAATGTCTTTGGAACATGTTTGGGGCTGCTTATCCACCATCCGGACTATTCTGCGTTGCAATCTTTCATCAATTTTCCTCATCCGTCCACGACCAGGGAGATTAGCTACAGTGCCATGGGTTGCAAAATTCTTGATAATGTTGCGCACTGTGGACAAAGGCAAATCTAGTTCTCTGGAGATGGACTTGTAACCTTGAGATTGTTGATATTTTGCCACAATTTTGGTTCTCAGGTCCTCAGACAGTTCTCGTCTCCTCTTTCTGTTTGTCCATGCTTAGTGTGGCACACAGACAGACACACAATGCAAAGGTTAAGTGAACGTCTCTCCTTTTTATCTGCTTTCAGGTGTGATTTCTATATTGCCCACACCTGTTACTTGCCCAGGTGAGTTTACAGGAGCATCACATGCTTGTAACATTCTATTTATCCGCAGTTGTGAAAGGGTGCCAATACTTTTGTCCAGCCCATTTTTGGAGGTTTGTGTGACATTATGTCGAATTTGCTTTCTTTCCTCCCTTTTTTTGTTTTGTCCCAATACACACAATGGGGAATTAAACATGTGTATAGCAAAACATGTGTTAATGCAATACGTTTCGTGAGAAATACATGATTTTCAGGAAAAATATCAAGGGTGCCAACAATTTCGGCCATGACTGTATATGACACCATCTTGTGTATCGTACCAAACATTCTTCTATGTCATCACACACAGAACGATTGTTCATAGGGAACCATTGGGATGCATAAAGTAAAATAATTAGTTTGAGGTATTCATCTGTATTCTCTACAAATCTCCCAATTTCCAATTAATGGGAAAAAATGTTTTCAAAATGGGGGAAATTTTGTATATAAACCCCAAACAAATTAAAAAATACTAAAAGGTACAAATATCAATACAGTATAATAGGAAAGCATCCATTATATTTCAGGGATTGTGAATATAAAGCTCTTTTGTTCTACATCCATCCCTTTCAATCTAAAGCAACTCCAACCCCATAACTGAGTTTATTTTAGGTGCAGACCAAACTTATTTTTGTTTTGCAGACCAAATATATTTTTATGGAATTTACTTTTCTTTGCTTTATTTTTTTGAAGTTCTTTTTCTGTTGTTCTAAATCATACAGCATAACCCTAGGTTCACATGTAAGCGGTTTCCACAGCGTTTTGCAGAAATGCACTACAGTCCATTTATTATGATTTCCAATGGGACATGTTCACATCTCTGCATTTTCACCTGGTGCGTTTTTTGGAAAGGGTCAGCGGTTTAGACATTAATGGCTGTGTGTGTTGAGTTATTTTGAGGGGGCAGCAAATTTACATGTTATATAAGCTGTACACTCACTACTTTACATTGTAGCAAAGTGACATTTCCTCAGTGTTGTCACATGAAAAGATAGAATAAAATATTTACAAAAATGTGAGGGGTGTACTCACTTCTGTACTATATCTTTAAGTCTACAGTATTTTCTTAGGCCTCATTTACACTTGGTGGTGTGGGTAAAAACATGCAGGTAAACCACATTTTTGCCACTCCCAACAACTTCCCCTTAAGCTGCAAAGGCAGCAGATGGGGGTATATAGATGCAACGGTAAAAATGATTCCCAGCTATCACATTCAATGCAAGCAGTACTGAACGCGACCAATCCAACTGAATGGGGCCACACTGAAACTGCCCTGCAAGTGTGCAATGAATATTGTGGCATGGTGGTGCAGGTTTTCAGAGGTTAAAGCAGGCGGTGGGGAGGCAACAAAACACCTCCTTACCGACTGTCAAAAAACCCCAGGAAAAATGAACCACTGTGGATCCAGAGGGCAAACAAGTGCAAATGAGCTCTTGGTGTTTTTGGTTGTTGGTGTCACTACCTATTAAAAGCTAAGGGATCCCAAAGTCATAAGATAATCAGCCCCCAACCCATCTGATTCCAGCCAACTGGCAATAGTTATTTTAATGATTACCATGTGACTGGCTGGTTGATATTGGAAAAAAGGTTGGCTCATTCCTGCTGGGTTGGATTGTCCCAGCTGATTACTATTGTTTTTCTAATAAAAAGCCTGTTGCCAGTGATATCTGTGCAGTGAATTAACATGGAGGAGAAACAAACAAGCCTGTCTATGCACCATCTTTAAAATCTGGCAGTTGGATTATGTTCTTCAGTCCTATCATGCTCTGATCACTCAAGGTCAGGTTTAGTTGGTATGTAAAATACCGCCTGTTCTAATATTTTTTTTAAGACCCTGGCTGACATCGAAGTCTCCATTCGCTGAATGATTTATATTACAGGGAATCCAGTAGGCACAAATTGATATCGTTAATCAACTTCTTAAGGGATGAATAGAGGAGACTGTATGAAGGAATAAAGCAGAGTAATGCTCCTGGAAAGGGTCGCAACATGCATACATTTTCTTGCACTGGATAGAGGCAGGTCTCTCGAAATCTGGCTTTCTACATTAGTCACTGTTTCTTTTCCTTGCAAAGAAGTATAACAATGGTTAATTCATATGTTATCAGTTTTTTTTTCACCAGCCTGGCTGTTAAAGAGACCCTGTGGTTTGTAAAAAAAAAAATGCAGGCAGAACAAACCCTGTAAAATAAGAAAGTATATATCGCTTCGGAGGTTGGCAAGTGAAAGTTTTGCTCGCTTGCTGACCTCTGTGCACTTCTGATATTTGACACTTCCAGGAGTGTCAGACAATGTGTTTCTGAGCTGCATGCTGTGGATCCTACAGCAAGCCACTACATCACTACAGTACACAATAGTGATATAGGGGATGGCAGAAAGAAGCGCTGCACCCAGCAAGAGATGCACTATCTAACCAGGGGCGGACTGACAACTCTTGGGGTCCCCCGGCAATAGGGGATCATGGGGCCCCCTGTGTCCTTGCCCACACTCAAAATAGCCTATAAAAAAGGTATCAGGGGCATTTCATGGGGCCCCCTACTGACCCCAGGCCCTCGGGCAGTGCCAGAGTGCTCGAATGGTCAGTCCGCCCCTGTATCTAACTCACTTGGAAGTGTCAGCTAGTAGGGGTTCCCAGAGCTCAATAAGAGAGCAAAGGATTCTCCCACCACCCATAGAATAGGTAAAATATATAACAATGTATTCCTTTAAAAGTTAACAGGAAAATATAGAATAAAGATCATAATACTGATATTGTTTTTTTCTGAAAAGGTGACTCCTTACTTGTCAATGAAGCAATGTTCTGAGTTCTGTAGATACTTTGGCTTGTAAGGATGAATGTGTGTTAATAAAAATGATGCGTGTTCCTTTAATTCTATGATTAGCATAAAATATCAGCTGATTTCAACCAACCCTAGACCCAACTGTCAATTTGCAGGATGTCCATGTGATTATATACAGTATAACAGTTAGGAAATAAAGCCTAACTATAATCCTAGTAAACCATTCAAATGCTTTGGAACTCAGGGACACAAGTGGCCCTGTACTGTTAAACTGTATAATGTGGCAAAATCATTTTCCACAAAGCATTGAATGAAATGAATATTTGTACAGTTAAGTAATTTTCACACGTAAGTAAAAGTTGCAACAGTTGCTCAGTCTTCATGGAAGTTAAAAGCAAGAACTAATGCTTGCAGAGGTCTACCTAGATGTTGGACCCTAAAGTATGTAAGTATAAATGGCTACATACAAGCACAGTACATTTGCTTTTCTGTGTGCTCAGGGAAATGGTGTCTTCAGGGTTTTTGTAGCTTTGATGTTTTAGAACCCAATCAGGTCATGACTTCTCAGGTAGGCTCATACGCTTGGCAAAGAGATGACATATCAGCAGCAGTTTGTAAACATGAGCTGTATTGGTATAAAGCTGGCCATAGATGGATAATATTTTGAACAAAAATTTTTAGTACATTATCAGAACATTTCAATGTTGCTAGATTTCAATTGCTTTTAATGTTTGTTTATGGAACGAATGGACTGAATGAAAACCAAATACATAGTTAGAAATTCGTATAAGAAATATTTCCCATCTTGTTGAAAAAGAATGATTAGAAAAAACGAAAGAACTTTCTTAGAACATTATTTTCTTAGAATTTTAATTTGAAATTCTACCCATCTATGACCAGTTTAAAGCGGAGTTCCAGCTGAAAAAAAAAAGTCAGCAGCTACAAAAACTGTAGCTGCTGATTTTTAAAATACAGCCACTTACCAGTCCCTCAGTCCAGCGGTGTCCTCACCACCACTGGTTTCACCGGCCATCTTCCCTCCCTGGTGCTGGCTGTGGCAGCTTGTGGCTTCACAGCCGGGTGCTCACTGCGCATGCGTGAGAAAAGCTGTGCTTTGTGAATGGCTCTGTAGTCTTCTGAGACCTGTCACGTGTCCCAGAAGACTATGGGGAGGGAGGACAACTTCCACTTCCAATAACCTAGGAAGTGGGAACGGGTACCTGTCAAATTCGGGTACCCTCTCCCCAAAGGTGCCTTAATGGGGAGTGGGGGACGAAGCATTAAAGGGAAACTTCCCCTTTTTGGTGGAAATCTGCTTTAAAGATGAGTTATTGTTCCAAGTTGGCTCAAGTCCAACAAGAAGGATCTCCTTTAAACAAGGATACCAAAGAGCCTTATTATGATTTTGTTTTGCCTTTATTGGCAAGACATTTTTTCAAAATGGAAAGAAAATGGGTTATGATGTCTCTTTTTTTACTTCTGGGTCCTATTGGGGAAATTTTTTAGCATTTCCCTGGAAGGCAAAAGAAAAAGCGAGTGTAAATCTCTTCAAAGTGAGGCAAAATTTCCTCTTAGCAGTGCCAGGACGAGGTCAGTTGGCACTCAAGATTAAATGCCAAATGCCAAAGTACGCCCCCCCCCCTCCAATCTCTTTAACGTTACAAAAAACATGAATTTAAAGTGGCAAACAGCCTAATGGAAGGGATGAAGGAGTTAAAAAATTAATAGGGGTTAACTAAAATTAAAACAAAAAAATTAGTTTGTGTTAACTACAATGTTTTATTCTGCAACTTGTCCCTTTATAATAGCTGTGCACCCCTGTGGACCAGAGCAATTTTTACATTTCTGCTGTGGGCCTGGTTATTTAAAAACAACTTCATCATTACATAAGATAAAAGTATATTTTTTAGGACTAACAGATCTTTCATTTGCTTATATTGCAAAAATGATTTTCTTGTTATGCAGTCCATAGACAAAAGTATACATTGTAAAAAAAAGCATACTTTTTTCTAATTTGATCAGTATTGGATAAAAAAAATATTGTTACTGTAGAAAAGAGAGTATGAATTTATTCTATTTAAAACGACAATAAAAATATAATTCTAGTAGAAAGCGTTGCAAAGTTATTTACAAATGAAACAACGTTTTTTTTTTTCTCAAATGTATGCTATTTTAATGTGACACAAAAAAATAAACAATAAAAAATACATCAAAACACAAAGTTTTAATATTAATGGTAAGAAAATTAAAAATAAAGGAAGGGGAAGAAGGAGGGAATTAGGGATAATTATGATAAACTAAGGGTTAATAAGGCTTTAAATAGTAACAAATTTAAGTTTAAAAAAACAAATTTTTTTACCTGTCAGGTTGCTTTAACTGACATCATATACAGATTAAAACTCATCCCTTTGATTTGCAGATGAAGATGAAAATTAGTAGATACAAAAGTATCCATGTAACTTTATACTATATCCCTTTATCTCGATTCTAAACACTGTATAAAACCTTGTGTCAGTATATCCATTTTTTGACAGCAGCAGCTTCTGCGACTGCTTTATTCCCACACACACTTTTGTTATATATTTTTTTTAATTCATACATAAAAGTAATTTATGAATTAAAACTACTATAGAAACTTTTAGTCCTAAATGAATGCAGAGCAGCACCTGAGCTGTCAAACTGATAGATTAGTCCTGCAGATTACATAACATGTCTCTCCCCCAGGGGCGGACTGACCATTTGGAAACTCTGGAACTGCCCAAGGGCCCGGGGACAGTAGGGGGCCCCATGAGATGCCCCTCGTACTTTTTTTATAGGCTTTTTTGAGTTTGGGCAAGGACACAGGGGCCCCATGATCCCCTATTGCCCGGGGGCCCCATGAGTTATCAGTCTGCCCGTGCTCTCCCCATGTAATCATCAGAGCTCTGTGACAGCTGGGTGCTGTGCTCGATTTATTGAGCAGGTGGCTGTCACACTGACAGCTAGACAGAGTACTACTGGTTACACACAGAGAGACGCGCTCTACCAGTGTAATCTGCAGGGTTGAGCTGTCAGTCTGACAGCTCAGTCTTGCTGTGTGTGGAACATGACTAGGCAATGCAGAGTCAAGGAGAGGCTACCATCTCAGCTGTGCCCCCCCACAGTCCAGCGCCCAGGGCAGGTGCCTCTTGAGCCTCTGCCTTGGCCTGGCCCTGCCTCTTAGCTTTTATTATAACAGATGTCTCTTTTAGAAGATTTCACCCCACCACCTGTCACAGTGGAAAAAGTTAAATTTGGGATTTTCTCTTGACGTTTGGGGACACAGCAATAAAGCCTGACAGGGATTCTAACCTTTCCCTACTCTTTCTAAGAAAAAAAAAAAGTTTGGATATAGATGCACTATAACATCACTTTTTTTTAGATCCCAGAAATATTGCAAAAGAACAAAAGGAGGTTCTTGGAATTACACATTGATACTTGAGGCCCCAATATATAACACACCATGGTTTGTGTTGTTCACTGGCTCTCAACAACACAAGAGAGACCGCTGAGCCAACATACAGCTCTTCACTATGACGAAGAAATAATTAAGGATTCTGGCTACATCTAAACAGTTCATCATTCAGATACAGTTCTATGTATTAATCATTTAGCTCACAACCATATCCAATTGCTGTGGTAACTGATGTCATATACTGTACATCATCATTAAACCTTATGGCAGCCCCATGAAAAATATTCAGCCAGTTTTATACACGTAAAGTTCAGTAACCTGAATCAGCAGTCTTCTCTCAGTGGATTTGGACAAGCCACAGCCTCGGAGCTTAGAATTCAAGCTACATAGTTAGTCTGACTGAAAAAAGACAAAAGTCCATCTAGTTCAACCATTAAAAAAAAAGTTATAATCCTATACCCACAGTTGATCCAGAGGAAGGCAAAAAACCCAGCAAAGCATGATCCAATTTGCTCCTGCAGGGAAAACAAATTCCTTCCTGATCCCCGAGAGGCAATCGGATATTCCAGGAATCAACTTTACCTATAAATGTTAGTATCCAGTTATATTCTGTGTATCTAAGAAAGAATCCAGGACTTTTTTAAAGCAATCCACTGAGCTGGCTGGAACCAACTCTTGAGGGAGTCTATTCCACATTTTCACAGCTCTTACTCTAAAGAAAACTTTCAGTGTTTGGAGATTAAATTTCTTTTCCTCCAGACGTAAAGAGTGCCCCCTTGTCCTCTGTGATAACCTCAGGGAGTCTCTTCAGTGACTAAGTAGTTCCAAAGAGATATGTGCTAGCTGGGTTATAAAATGGTTTCATCAAAATAAATAATGAAGGTTTCCTTTATTCTACACATAAAATTTTGAAGTAGATGTAGGACTTCTAAGATGAACTTTAAACCCCCCCCCCCCTTAAAAACATGAAATAAAGCTTGATATAAAAAGCTTTCTTTTATTTCACATCACAATTTTACAAATGCTCCCGACTTGGGCAACCACCAACAAACCCCATATGATGTGTCCCAGGAGGTTGCAGAGATGGAGTGTGAATGTGAGACAAGTGACATCATTGTCACCTAGGCAAGGATTTCAGAAGTGGGAGCAAATACCCCTCCAAAAAAAGAAAAATGCAACTCATCTTCAGAGTTCAGCGGACCTACACACAGAATATGGAGTTTTTTCAGCCTTCTTTTACAGCTGCTTATATCTGCACCCCCCCATCTCCCCATCTTCAGAGTTTGGGAGGGGGGGCCTACACACAACGTGCAGAGTTCAGAGGTGTACTATGTACATAGTGCAGAGTTCAGGGGTGCACTGCATACAGACTGCAGAGTTCAGGGGTGCACTACACATAGAGGGCGGAGTTCAGCCCTTTTCCTTAGCTTCTTACCTTTGCATCCACCATCCACATCTCACTTTCACCCCTCTTCAGCTCTGAACTCTGCATGCAACGTCCCCTA